AAATATAACTTGAACATGAATTTATGCTGGCTGCATTTCTCGGCTGTTAAAATCTGCTAACCCCAAAGTGAAGTTTAGTCATATGGCCAACCCACTGTGAGAGGGTCAACTTCATTTGGGAAGTTGGATGGAAGAGCAGGGGAGTGACATGATGCTCTGGGAAGGAGAAAATCTCACCTTCTTTTGTTCCTAGATAACAGGGACCCAGAAAGAGTACGTCTTGGCTTAGGAGGCATGAATGAGACCATGTATAGAATAGATGTTGTGATCCCCAAACCCAAATTTCATCATACAAAGGTCACATATGTTATTTGCATTTGAGTGCTTTATTATATTGGAATTGCAGTGATATTATTAACATTTGTACAAATGCACAAAATCTTGTCTCTTCTTGCTAGAAAGAGATGTAAAAATCTGACCTAGTTGAACAGTCTTAATGAACTCATTGTCCATCGGTAACAATAATGTGTTCACTATGCAACAAAAAGCTTAACATAACATTAAACATATTAAATGCTGCAGCAAATATTTACAGGTATGTACCCCGAAATTGTTTTCTCCTTCCAGTTAGGAAGGTGGTTGCTTTACAAATAGACAAACAAACACAAATGCTTTGCTGTTTACAATGACAAACAACCCCCCAGTCCAGAACTTAAAGTGACAGCACCTTTTTTGGGGGACTTCCTTAGTTAACATTTACTTTGTACAATGCTAAACTTTTTTTCTTTTAGTTCTATTTTTGGACAATATTTATATTCCAATTGTCCTGGAATATTGTGTTTAAACTGAGCCATTTTTCTGGGCCTTTACAGAAGACCCCATGTCCTCTCCAGGGAGGACATTTCAAAGCTTATCTTTTCTTCAAGACAAACCTCAAGGGCACAACTCCTCTCTCTATGAGGCAGGTGTGATTTAGCAGAATGTAGGAGGAAAGAGGGCAGGTAGGTCGTTTTTTACTGGCTGGCTGGTGGGAAAAGGTCCTTTCTCTGACTACCCCTCCACGTCATCACTGTGATACCTTTCGTGACTTCCTGTAGTATCTAGAGCATTGGTTTTCTGAAGGAGCAACCAGTCTAGGGAGCTTAGTGTGCATATGATTTTAATGATGTATTTAAAGCTACTTCATTCCGGTTCCACATTCTCTGTCCTGAGGCTACCATGATTCTGTAAAACAAAATAATAATAATTCTATAAAGTTCTATAATATGAAACTCAATGTAAGAAAATCTCAAATGGCTTAAGAAGAGCTTTCTAAATCCTGACTTCTAATGAGTCAGATACTTCAGTTGGTCTAAATATAATGGTTGATAATTATTGATTCCTCTCTGATGATAAGCTTGGAAAGGTATCAGAGTGCCACTTAAGAATATGAATCTTTTAACAAATGCTGGCAATTTGGCCTTACCCCCCTCTTCAACTTGTGGTTAAATAGATTTTATTTAAAAATAGACAATTTATAAGGAAAAAATATATAAACACTCTTTAAGCAATTTGGCTATAAGCATTATATCACTGAAAAATTCCACAAGAGATAGTAAAATACTTGAATGGACATACACTTTTTTATTTTCACAACATGATGAGCTAAGGTTTTCGTTGTTGTTGTTTTCATTTCCTTGTTTTGGTATTGGAGTTTACTGGTGAGTTTATTGCTTCAGTGTCTTCTTGTCCTTTCTTAGATTATGACTGTTAAATAGAGGCGCTGTCCCTAATTATGTTACAAGGCAACATTGTATTTTTGAGACCTAGGAATGAACTAGATGGGACCACTGTTATTTCAGCAGCCTCAGAGAGACCATGACTAGGACAACAGTTCATTGTGCACCACGATGCACAAAAGAAGAAGTCTCCTGGCTCATTCAGGACACTTTGGTTCAGAGGATGAGACAGAAAATTCTTAAGGATAGCTTAGCTGCTGCCTCACATCTGTTGCATAATATAACATTTTCAAGAAAACATGCTATGAATAAAGGTACAGAGTATAAACTGGCTCTTCTCCTGGGCATTCTCGTAGCAGGCTTCTTCTACTGATGTGAGAAACACGTCTTTGCTAGGCTACTAAGGACCACACACAAATGTACCTGGTGCAAATATTATGTAAAGTATGATAAACGATGCAGCTCAGAGCCTCGGAGGAAGGGGCGGGGCACAGTGCAGAGGGAAGAGGGAAAGCAAGTTTGAGGACAGGGTGGAGGTTCGAAAGAGAACCAGAGAAAGGGATAAAAAGCTAAAGTGCAATTTTAAAATATAAATTATTTTAAGCAGAAGAGAGGTTCTAAATCGCTACTGTTCGCATAGGCACGGTTTTATTCAAATTTAAATGGGTTGTTTCCTTTTCCTTCTCAGATAGACTGCATAATGGAGCTTGAATGGCTTAAAGCTACTGCACATTGTTTGAGAAGGGACAAAAAGAGCACTAAAAAGCTGAATAGTGCAAAGCATTCTAGGAAACTGGGATGGGGTGGAGAGATGCAGAGATGAAATTGTTCTTATACTTTTATAAGAAAGTGTTCCAGTTATAGTTACTGATTCCCTTTAGCTGAACTCTGCTCCCTAAAGGGAAGAGCTTAAACACAGAAAAGAAATAAATGTTGTTTTTTTTTTGTTTGTTTGTTTTTTTAAAAAAAAGCTGTTTCAAACACAGATTAAAAAATAACTCACAGAGCAATAAAAATCCTTGAAATTTCTATGCAAAGAAATCTAAGCAAACATTTTCACCAAATGATGGAGCACAGCCATTTGAAACCCTGAAAAACGAAGATACATACAACTAGAGTAGTTTATTATGAACTAATACTTTAAAAACAAGTAGACCCTACAGAAGAATACTGTTCAAATGGAATGTTTAAAAATAACATTTATTAATAAATATCTTATAAAATTCTAAATTAATAGATTCCTGTTCAAATTTTGCTTTGGTCCTTGAATTCCACTGTATACACACATACATACATATATATTTTTTTAGATGATTTTTATTCACCAGAAAGAAGCACATTCTATCCTAACTGGATGGCTAGTTTTATAGCAGTTTTAAGCTTAACCCACCCCCACTCCCCAGCCAAAGGTCTTTTACTGCAGCTGGTTTAAGATTTCAATGACGAACTCAACTAACACATTCAAATTGACTTCACTAACAGCCACCTGAACATTCACCGTTGACACCCTCTATTCAGAACTTGCGCTGCGTTGGATTTCATTGACCGGATAGGCACCAGAGAGCATTTGCTGCAAGTAAGTCCCCTTCATTCTAACAGCGCGGGGACAGCACACTCTGGCTCCCACGACCCTGTGGACACGATGACTCGCATACATTGACGCGGAGGTGGGAGCAGGATGACTGGGAGGGTACAGGGAAGACTCCCCACCTAACACCTGGCTTTGAAATAAGTGCATTCATCCACAGCGAGGATTTTCACCATACCTGTCCCTGCCTACGCTGGGAAATACCTTAAGGAGAAACACTTGCAATGCGGATGCCTTGGTCCAGGGGACGGTTCACCTGGTGGAAATGCCATCAGGTGTACCTACTGAAGTTGCTCACTCCCGTCACAGAAGAGCTGCAGGGAGGCAAAGTGGAAATCTCCAGGGAGCTGGCAGTGCTGTCAGAGGCCGATCTTGCCCATAATACCCGCGGGAATGAGGGAGGCAGCGCGCTGAGCCCTTGGGGGATGCTCTGAAGGTCATTACAGCTGTTGGTGACTATGGATGGGTGGCCCAGTCACTCAGTGGGAGAGAGAAGAACGGGGCAGAAAGATGTTTTCCCAGATTGGCAAAAGGTGTAGGGCAAGAGGGAGGACTGATTATTCCATGGTCTGGAGAAAGCTGGGCCTTCAAGGGAAATAACTTAATATCGATAAGCTGAGTGTCGGATCTGACCAATGTGCTCTCTGTTTGGCATTTCAAACTCTGAGAACTGGCTGGCATCTCCCATTGACTGTATTTCCACACTGCTAATGAACATACCTAAAGGCCCTGAGTATAACAAGAAGACAGTTTATTCTAATTATACGTTAGGGCCCGATCGCTAACTTGTGTGGTTGGTTTGCCTACTTAGCATAAAGAACAGACATAATTGGGCTATATATAATGCCCATCAGTCAAACTGTCAAGTTGCTGAATTAAGGAAACTCAGGCAAGTTCTTAACTGCAGAGGCTTTTGGTTTAACAACTAAATATTTCAATCAAGAGGTGGAACAGCAGTAAAGTAAACCATAATTTTAGTGACAACCCACTCCCTGGACATTCTGGTATTACCAGTGGATTTTCAAAAAATCCGTTTCATTAAGTGCTATGCATGCAGTAAAGAAAGAAATGTTTTTGTTTACTTAGAACAAAAAATAAAATTAAAATAAAAAAAATTTAAAAACCCGAACAAAAGATGTCAATGAGCTCTTTGTCCTTTTTAGGGGGGGACACACAGTCCTAGGCAGGAGTTAGGAAAAAAATTATTTTTCATTTCAATAAAGAGATAAGAATGTTAGCTTCTTTTTCAGCTAAATCTTAAACCTTTCTTAGGAAGCCAGTTAGGTTAAACCATTCGTCGGTTACTGCTGGGATTAAAAAACAAATCAAAACAAAACAACCTTGAATTCAGTATTTAAAATACTTAAAAATGATCTGTTCATCTAAAATATAATAGAAAATCCTTTTTGTTTACATTTTTTCTTGTTTTTCTCTTTTTTTTTTTTTTTTGCTTTTGTTTTGATTTTTAGACCATATATCCAAGTCATGAGTTTCACTGGATACTCAAAAGTTTCTTCTGAAAGCACTGCATACATGAAAAGGTTGTTGATAAATACTGATTTTAAACGTAAGTTAGTAGATAAAACTGAAACTATTATAAAAATCATGCTTTACGACCCTCGTCTTTTCTTTTTTTTTCTCTAAAATAGATTCTTACACTATAGTGAGAGAGAAAAAAAAGCAAAATCACATCCTTTCCTTTTCTGAACTCTTATAAAAGCTACACCTTTTGTAAAATACTATTCCTTTAAATCCCATGAACACACACACACACACACACGCACGCACGCACGCACGCACGCCCATGCCCACACTCATGTTAGGAGGTCAAGCATTCAAATGGAGATGAAACACCAGCACCTGTCTAGACTGCTAAAGAGAAACATTAGCCTGGTTATTTGTGAGATGTGATATTAAAACATTAGAACAGTAGAATGGCTTATTTCAAGGAGGCACAACTGTGGTTTGGAACTATCTGCTTTTTATAATAGGCAGGTCCACAAAAGTTGTCGAAAATGTAAATCAGAACTGTTCGGGAGAGTGAGCGGGCATGCCCACGGGGCCCTTTCTTGAACTGCCGTGGGAGGGCGGAAAGCACCCCAATGGAACCTCGGTTTTCTTCTCTCTTTGTTCCTCCAGGGTTATCTACTTTCACCCACCGGAACAGCAAAGCTGCTTCCATAGGCTTCAGAAAAAAACAAAAGCAAAACCAATAAATCTGAGGCTACTAGCAGCTGATGACTGAACAATGCAATTTGTAGTGAATGGAGCCCTTCTGAATTATTATATAGCACATGGATTTTTGACACTGTAGACAGGCCATAGAGAACCGGTTGTCACCGAGGGTGCGATGCTACAGCCTCGCATTACGATGTGGACGTTCACAGCCGAGGCTCACAGCTCCCTTCCCTGGTGTCTCCACAGCTGGCATTCGACAGTGCTTCACCTGTGGCTAAGCCACCTTTTATTTGCTCTGATTATTAAAAATATTAAACCAGACACCTTAAACATCTCCTGGTTACTATTTTGTAAAAAGCGAGAGTTGAATGAATTCCAGCTGCAGGTCAAGGGCAAGGGAAGCAATGGCTAGGTCCACATTTCTGAGGTTTACATTGATCTTTTTCTTTAAACATTAGTTTCTTCTTTACATGCAATGCTGAAGGGGGAAAAATAAAACAGAAGAAAGTAAAAATGAAGAGGCAACAAGGAGCCCAGGAAAGAGTGGAAACGTAGAGAGAAATTGGGCTTTGGAGAAAGTGGACCAAGAGGAGCAGGAGGGGTGGAGAGATGCCTGGTGGTTTTATGTGGACATCAGTGGGTCTTCCAATTTCTAACGGTCAGAGAAACAAAGCTGTGGAAAGGCTCTATGTTTATCTGGGATTCTGGTGACATCACAGCACAAACTCAACATGTGTTATGATGTCATCAGACTTCTCACCCAGTCACCTTGCATCTGTTGCTATCTAAGTATGCCTCATTTTGGCTATAAGCTGCGGCTTAACGAGACTCAATGTTTCAGGCAAAGGGTTGGACTGATAAGAATGAAACCATGACTATATACAGAAAGAGTTCAGTTTATAAACAAGTAACTGGTACCAGAAAACTGGAGAAAAGCACCAAAGCATTTCCCAAGCTGATAGATATTAATTGCATAACTCCCTTTTTTTCTTATATAACTAAGTATAAAAGACAACATTTCCATAATAACTATAAAAATGAAAGCCAGTCTTTGAAGAACTGAGGAGTCTTCCAGGTCTGAGTGAATTCTAAAAATGCCCTTCAAAGAAAGGACGGTGTACGTGGCAGCTCTTCTGGGAGGCGAGGTCCGGCCCCTGGTTTTTAAAGAATCGGGTTCAGGTCTGTTCTGTGAGTGGTGAGCTGGCTGAGGGTGGAGCTTCCGACCACCTCGCTGACGGCCGAGGACGTGGTGATGGTGTTATGCTGGATGACCTGCTGCTGAGAGCACGCAGGGACCGGGCTCACGGGAGGGCTGCTCTCCGGACCTAGGACGAAGCAACACACACACACACCGATATGGCTCTTTCTTGGGGGACTTGCAGACTACTCAGAAAAATACTACTAGATGTTTACTAAAAATAGAAGAGTTTTCACACATTGTCTCCTGGGGGTTAATTTCAAAATTTTAAACTGTAGTGACAGAGCTATGCCTTCCCAGTTTAGAGCTACAAGCAAAGCCATGCTTTCTACGTCAGCAAAATGAGTCGGTGTGTTGGAGTCTTGGAATGGGAACTTCCCCATCTTGTATTTTCAAAGAGCCATCCATATATCAAATGTGGAAAAATACTCACATGTGGTGGGAGAATCTGTGTTGCTCAATCTAAAAAATTATTTGAAAATAAATTGACCTTTAGCCATGATTCCCTGCCCCTCCCACCAACCCCTGCTCAACTAACATTTAACCAACCTACTGACATTCCCGGTGCAGAAACTGGGGTCTAAAAAAACGGGACCCATTTTGTGTATTGATACACTGAGACGGTCACTAGTTTGTGAGCCCGGTGACTAACATGCAGCTACCCCGAGGCATGGGGCGTGATTCACCCGGTGCCTGCTCCCCAGCCCATGCACCCCTCTGGAAGACTGCTAGCCACTGGTGACCGGGCTCTGGCAGGCCATTTTCTACTGGCTGCAGAATTGGAACGTGGTAGGATTTTACACTGTGAAATGCCAGGGAAAGTCTAGCCAGAAGTTATTGGGAGGTGGCGGGCCTGGTGATGGACAGGGGTCAGAAGAGAGAACTCCCCCGGTCGAATATTCTGGCAGCCATCCAGAATTCTAGCATATCTGCCTGGGTGTACAATCTACATTTGACTTTTGCTCTTTCAATATAATTGAATGCAAAATTAGAGGCAAAACATTGAACACTAGAAACAGCAAAAAAGTCCAGGACTTACTTAGATATCCTTGCGATTCTTTCTGCATGGCTGTTATCGGGCAGTCTTTATGCGTCAACAACAACTGTTTCAGCTGCGCCACCTCGTTTTTCAACATGGACACTTCGTTCTGGAAAGAGACATGGCAAAGCTATGTTGAGAAGACCAGCAAACACAAACCGCAGGCCCCGTGCACTGTCAACAATGAAACTGTGGCAAGCATTTCTGTGAAGTGTGAATGAGTTAAGAATATTATTTAACGGGATTCGCGGGCAATGTGTAGCTTGCCTTCAGTTTGGCTCTCTCATTTACCAGGGGCTTTCTGCAGAGACCAGGTTTTCATTCAAGAGCTGGATCCTATGAAAGGCGCAGAGCGTACTGTTTAGGTGGTAGACCCTGGGGCCAGGTTACTGGGGTGGGAATCTTCAGTCTACACTGGCTGAGTGACTCTAGGCAGGCAACTTAACCCTGAGCTCCAGCGACATTGTTTATGAGACGGGGATAAAAATAGCACAAAGTTCTTTGAGTTGCTGTGAGGATTAAAAGAGGTAATAGATGTAAAACACTCAGAACAATGCCTAGCACATACTAAGCACTCAGTAAAATTTAGCTATGATAATCATCATCTTTACACTGTCTGATGAGCTCAGGTTGATATTTGATAGGAGACGGTGAATGTGAGGCAATGGGAACATTTATGGGGCTTTACACTGAAATGCCCTCCGGAAAAGCTCACTAATCTACTATCAGATTTCCCAAAAGTTCCAAATGGGCTACAGTTTATCAGCATGTCCCCCTGCCCGACACCCACTTAACAGGAGGCATGGAAGCAAATAGCACAAATACTGGTCGTGTGCTGGTGGGATGAGGTCAGCCCAGGAGGCATGGGGCCGTGCTAGAATTAATTTCATTAATTAGTTTATTAACTAATGGGCTCATTAACTAGTTTGGCTAACTTCAGTCTAGAAACTCTTCCCCTCTCAGTAGCAGGGTGTTGGGGATTGTATGTGCATTTTTCTTATGCATTTAAACAAGTGCCTCAAACTCCACTGAATGTAGTAATTCACAAGGACAGGTCCGTGGCTTCTAGAATAATGTACTTGGCACCATTGTCTACAAATATAAACTCAGAATAGATGGTTGGTTCCAAGGTGCTTCCACTTGATAAAAGTAAACTGTAAACATAGCACTATCTCAAATAAGCAGTTTTACAGTTGTGATACATAATACCCCCTCTCTGGCCTGTGCTCATTGGTGGCTGCCAGGCATTACACTTGTAGGAGACTTGAAAGAAGCATGTGCACAGAAAAGGGTGTTTTAATATTGCTGTCATTAAGTTGTATCTACACTTTCAATATGAACTTGGCTTTTCAGGCCTGTATTTATCACCTAGCAAAATAAGTTCGGGATTCTAGAAGTTAATGAAAAAAAAATTTTGGAAACTCGTTTTAAACAATGCATCCCATTTCCTCATTCATTTGCAAAATACATTATATGCAATCAAATGTTGCGTAACGTAAATAACAAAATAAAATAAAAAATCTCATCTCCAGAGCTTTTCTCTTTCTCTTCCAAACTTTACCAAATAAAAGACCTATCAGGGAAATTAGCATTATGAGTGAATAAATCACTTAATTGCACAGAAAAATTGCTCTTAAATCTGAGAACAGTCGAGGTGAATTGTGCCTCCTACCTCCTAATGAGTGTGATGGATAAGGGGCCCTGTCAAAGCCAAAAGTGACCCTTGTCAATTCCGGGATCAGTGGCACAACTTTATTTATAGGACAATTTATTTTAGCCTTAACCACTAATTCTTTCCTCTCTGATTTCATGCCCAGTTAAATTCAGACAGCCTTCCCTGCTACCTCTGCTCAGCATGTGTGAACAAAGCTACTTTTACACCGCGCTATAGGAGGACCCCCAGGGTAAACACAACAGACAGACAAAACCAGGGCTGAGAAGGAAAAGGAAGAGCAGATGTATGTGTCTAGAGCTTGGCCGCACAGTGTCATGCCCTGTGCATTTAGGTGGATCACAGGAATGACACCTTTCTGACCCCTGCCCCGAAGAGGAAACTCTCAGCTGCAGATCGTCAGATAACGGTGTTCAGAAAACGGAGTCAAGCTCCAATTTTCAGTGAATCCAGCCACACTTTTCTCCTGTGACCTAGGAGGCGACAAAGAAAGGAAGGATTTCCAACAAAACCAAACAACAGGATTCTCTTGCTTTCTTATGCTTCGGGAAGGAAGAAAAAAATTCCACTGTGTGGCCGTCTTGGAAAGGTTGATTTTGGTCTCCATCGCTCCCCCCATGCGGTCCTGGGCAGTCACCTTTTCTAGGCAGTGTTCGGCTTCCCAGGCACGGAGTGTTCTTTGCCCTTCCTTAAGAAAACAGTTGGAATTCCGTTCTCTGGGTTCCTGCAGGGGCAAGGAGCTAACGGCCCACAATACTTGGCACACCCCAAACCATTTCACAATAAACCTTTTGCTTCCATGAGAGGCCATGATAAAACAGCACTAATCACCACTCTGAAGAGCATGGGTGGTGTCCCAGCCAATAACCAAAGCCTCATGTAGAACCTATGGCTAAAGCAGCAGTTTCGTCAGTGGCTAGCAGAACACTTACTGGTAAATCAATAGGTTGTGAGTATGGGAACTGAGGCCCCAGGAGTTGTGAGGGTCTGTAGAAATGTGGGAACCTGGAAAGGACCATGACAAGTGGCCATCATTGAAAGATATAGGTGAATATGGACACATTTCTTAATGTGTTAGTAATTAGGTTATTTAGCTAGGTTCTGGTTGGGAAATGAATGCCGATTAATATTCTCCATGGAGAAAAACAATCAGTCTCTTGTTTAGCCCGTGCACAAATAACTCTTATGCTGATAAGGACTAAATAAAAGCCCAATGGCCACAGAAGCAACAGAAATTCGGGGGCAAGTTTCCAACAGAAAAGGAACTCTTTTTTTTTTTTTTTATCCTTACCCGAGGACATTTTTTGTTCAGATAGAGTGGGAGGGAGAGAGAGACAGAAACATCGACGTGAAAGGGACACATTGAGTGGTTGCCACCCGCACAACCCAACCAGGGCCGAGGACAAACTGCAACCGAGGTACATGCCCTTAGCAGGAACCGAACTCGGATCTCTCTGGACCGCAGGCCGATGCTCTAACCGCTGAGCCAAACTGGCCAGGGCAAAAAGGAATTCTTAACTGCAAGTCGAGAATAGTAGGATTTGACTTCCCAAGCTGCCTCACCGACCAAACGTAAAACGAGATGGTTGTCTAGTTCTTTCCAGCAAGATCGTTTTTTTATTTTATGAATGTTTCTGAGTTACTGTCTACTGAGCAAGTGAATTACCTAATAACCTAACGAAGAACTCAGTCTGGAGTTTTTATTAGTTAACCACTTTTGGTGTTCTCCAACATGCTTATATCTTAAGTCTCCTGTTTGCTAAGGGAGCTGGTTCTAGCACCGCCCGTGCTTCCACATCTTATTAGGGCAGTTTCCCAAGCAACATGGATAGCTTCATTTGGAGCCAAATTTGGTGTCCATGTGTGGGTCCATATTGTTGCGAGTGTACAGAGCCTTCACCAGAGTCCCTGATGGACGCTTTGGGTTCAGAAATGGCAAGAATAAGCTGCCCCGGAGAAAGCAGAGTGGACCGTGTGCTGTGCACATGCATCATCACGCTCAAGACTCCGCCTCGATGACGGACATGTAGGAAATGCACAAATACCAGACTCTGTTGTAAGTAAAAACCCTTCCAAGGTAACGTAAGTAGAATCACCTTGAATTCATTTTGGAAGAGAACAACCAGATAGCAAATGTTTCAAAAGAAATCAAATGTGGCCTGCAAGTCTAGTAGGGAAATAAAAACCAGGACTTCTGGAGGCATTTTCTGACTCTGAGCTACCTTGCTTTGTAAATTGAGGCAAATCACCATGTTTCTTTTTTACTCCCCTGTGCAGGCTGTAAGAGTTTGAGGTATTCATATAAAAGTACGTTGAGAAAGCAAAGTAATAATAATCAGTATTGATTCTCCTGCTGAAATCAGCCCTTTGTTTTTCTATGCTGGTTTGGGTTTGCTACTAGCTAAAGTAGTTAGCCCTTTAAATAGAGACTGTAAGAGGGCAGATGAGATGCGGATGGATTCATCTGTTCTTAAATCCCTGACGTTGCCTTAGGATGAAATAGCACCCCCCTATAGAGACATTCAATACTAAATAACATACTTTAAATAAGCACTCCAAGAAGTTCCTCAAAGCTACACTTGCAGTTTGGGGTTGGGGGTGTGTGTGTCATTTTGTTAATATGATAAACCCAGAATGCTTATTGCTGAAAACAGTAGTCTGTGCCAAAAACAATCAAAATGGGCCCTGCAATATGGCCCCTCCCCCACTTCATTTTGTAGATTAGCTGAGGCCAGGTTTGGTTCATTCCAAAACAAAGGACTTTCAATTTGTCAAGCAACAGTTCCCATCTGGCCTATTCTCTTGCCAAGTCCCAAACCTGGGCTCATGTGTCTAAAATTTCAGCAGCGACTTGGGCCATGTGTCTTTGTACTAAGAAAGAAAAGCAATTATTTCTGTGGGTGACCAGATGATTTCCATATCATCTATCGAACACAAACAACCCACTCGCGGAGCCCCACAGCCGCTGATGAATTTAGAGCTGATCTTAGCTACTCTGTCGGAGAACAGAATGTGGATTTCTTTAGTTTAAGAACTTTCTAGCCCAGCCAGAGTGGCTCAGTGGTTGAGCCTCGACCCATGCACCAAGAGGTTGCCAGTTCAATTCCTGGTCAGAGCACATGCCCAGGTTGTGGGCGTGATCCCCAGTGGGGGGCATGCAGGAGGCGTCCAATTGATGTTCTCTCGTCGATATTCCTATCTCTCTCTCCCTCTCCCTTCCTCTCTCTCTAAAATCAATAAAGAAAAAGAAGAAGAACTTTCTAGAATGAAAGGTCACAGAGCAAAAGGGTCAAGAGAAGACTCGCTTGGGTCCTCATCCTGCTATTTGCTGATAGTGAGACTCTTGGGAAGACTCCTCACGTCCCCTGAGCCTTAGTTTCTCCCTATTTAAATGCCCGACTGGATGGTGTCTACTCTCTCAATTCCTATACCTGCGCTGACCCCTTGGGTAGAGATGTGTTACGAGACAAGAAATGAAGTCTGGGAGTTTGACTTTGTTTTCTTAGGTCTGATTTTTCCAATCTGAACCTCTGCAGCCGAACTAGAAGTTTCTCTGCTGGAAAACAACTCAAAAGTGGCAGCCGGCCATCCAGACCTTGGATATTCCATTTGGCTGGAGTTTGTTTGCTTAGCACCTTCCACTTCTGTTTACTTAAAATTTGGCTCACTGAACCAGCGTCAAGAGAGACACCTTTTTCTTCTGACAAAGGTCCAGTGAGAGGGAAAGGGTCACTCGGAGGTGGCAGGAGCAGCCACCCTATCCAGCACCCCGAGGCGTGGTGCCGAGCGCTCCCCATCACAGAAAACACGCAGCGGTGTGGTTTCTATCGCTCTGAAGCAGAGCGGAGGTTGGAAAACATCAACAATTTAGTCTTTTCAGAGACTGTCCCTTCCTTGGGCACTGTTTTAACAACCCCAAATCTTGGTGCCTGTTGAATGGCTTTAAAAGGACCCTTTTTTCTGATGTTCAGGGGCTAGAATTCTAATATTACTTTTTGTTAGCCATTCTGGTCCTAAAGAAATGTAAAAATTCATGGATTAGGGTCTCGTAAAGGGTAAATTTACCTTATGTGCTTTGCAAAAGCAATCATATACATGCATGTTGCCAAGTCATGAACACATCTGGCCTCAGAGTCAGCCGGCATCTTTACTTTCCTGGCTCTCTGCTATGACCCCTCCACGTGTTCATGCGCTAGGACCACAGGCAACATCCAGCAGTCTTTCTGCAAGGGCTCCATTTAGTTAAAACTGATTTAAACATTTGTTGGCATCTGATCCATGCCAGCTGGCTCCTTCATCTAAGGCAGTGGTTTGCAACCAGGGGTGATTTTGTCCCCACAGAGGACATTGGGTAACAGCTGGAGACTCTTTGGTTGTGGGGGTGGGGTAGCGGGTGCTTCTGATATGTAGTGGGTAGCGATCAAGGATGCAATGGGCAAGATACGACGAAGAAGTGTTGAGCCCAAAAGTCAACAGTGTCATGACGGAGAAAACCTGCACATTTTCATGGTCTTCTTGCAGACCTCAGAACTGGTAGCAAGTTTGAGGGACTCCCCCCCATCAGTCAGCACGGTACCATGGCTGCAGTATTTGCTAGGTCCACATACACCGGGACTTTTATTTACTTAACGTGTTTGTACACATTAACTCATGTTGTAATGATTTAGCCTCATCCTTACCAATAGGATTTGTGAAATTGAAGGTGTGATGTCCTAATGACATTTTTCAAAACACATAAAAATAAAAACGAGTGTAATAATATTAAAAGTGTTCATCGACGTTCCGCCGAAAAGCCGCTCACACACGCTGTGCCTGCCAGAGTCTAGGGTTACAGGCTGTCACGGCAGAGTGGCTTTCGAGGTGTTTAAGCCCAGCCATCCCACTGTGGCTTGACTCCCTTCAAACACATTCTTGCCAGGAGGTCAGCCAGCCCGTTCTTGGGACACTCCAGAGATGGGGAACTCATTCACTTACTCACCAGATACTGAGTGCAGACACGCGAGAGCTCGCCATGCTAACCAGACCCTAAACTAGTCACAGAAGCATAGAGGTGGGGAGACAAGGTCACGAGACATGTCCCACCTTCGTTAGCATGTAAGTTAGTGGGGAATTATCTTATTTCCCTCATAGCTGCTGTATTTGTTTCTGTTTCTTTCTCCTATCACAGAAAGAATGATAATTTTAAGGGGAAAAGTGGACACCCATAAATTACAATGTCCAGTCCATGCATCGCCCAAACTTTCTTTGTATATCTTCAATTTGTACACCGGGTGCCCCAAGGTCATTTTCATTAATGGGACTGAATATGCTTTGGGGGTTGGGCACCTAAACGCTCCTTTCTAAGGATGCACAGAAACCAGATGTGGGAAGGGAAGGTGACCTTTGAACTGCTGAGAAACAGCTTCCCCTAACCGGAGCAACATTTCTCCTCCTCTGCTCTTCCACCATTCCCTCTCTCCCGGATGCGCCGGCTATGACCCATGACTCTGTCCCTGGCCGGCTCACCAGGCTCCTGAGTGCCTTCTGCCCTGCTGGGGGACAGTGCAGTCCTTCCTGTGGGAACAGATGTCCTCAACTGTGCCATTTCTACAGCATGACTGCCGGAGATGCCCCAGGGCCTGCGGTTGCCTCCCCTTCTCTCAAAAACTCCTCCAAGTGGCCTTTATGAAATGTCTCCCGTGGAGCCAACCACGTAAAGCACAAATCACTCAACATTCAAATCTCGGGTTTGAAAATGAGATAGAAACATGCCTTTCCTCATAGAGCGAAGCAATATGCAGGGACCTTCCTTTCCTCCCTTAAACAAAAACACAGGCACGCTTGTGTAAGCCGAAGCGAGCCCCTCACCCACGGAGTATTAAGAGTGGCCTTGCAGTTGAAAATGCATTGTGTGCCAGGCACTGGGCACACCGCTTCGTACACATTAGTTCCTTCATTCCTCCCAGCAACTCTATGGGGTTATTATTCCCATTCTACAGATGAGGAAACAGAGCTGGAGAGGGCGACCACGCAAGTCATTGCTGGTCCAGAGAGAGACCCCGAAGCCTGTGCTCCCAGCTTCTGCAGCCTAGTGGGGCAGCTTCTCCCTCCTCGGAGTGTGCAGGCAGATGGACTGCAAACTGAATGGCTTAGTTTGTTTTGTGGCGGGTCCCAGAGTGAGTGACGCAGGAGGGGCGAGCCTGCAGATGCTCTGGACTAGGGTGTGGCGCTAATGCTCGGGTCAGCGCGTGCTGGGGACACAGTGCCAGCTGCACACAGGGCCTTTGAGTCCTGAGGAAGGGACAGTGCCTGCACCTGAAGCTGCATGTTTGTCTGGGTGAGTTCTTCAGCTTTCTTTTCCAGTGACATCACCCAGACCTTCCTCTTCTGTCTGCAGCGGGTGGCGGCGGCCCTGTTCCGTTCCAGAAATTTCCGCCGCCTCTCATCCGGATCCTCGTCCACCACCCGTCGCCGGCGCCCCCCTGTGGGCTGGGGCGGCTGTATCGTCTGGGTTGGCTGCATCTGTTGTGTGGCTGGTGAGACCTGCTGGGAATGAGAAGGAGGGGGTGACAGGTTGGGGAAGGAACACGTTGGGTGACAGCGGAAACCCAGGCGGTGTTGGAAAGCAAAGCACAAAAGGGTCCATTGCTTTAGTGAGCACCCCAGACTCGTTTCTAAGAAGGACGGGAGCAGCGACATCACACGAGCTCGCGAAGAGGACGAGCGTCCTCGGAGCTCCCTCCGCCTGTTGGACCAGCTACAGGCGGCCTTGTGCAGAGAGACGCACCTTCCCTACCGGCGCCGGCTGCATCCCGGCGGGGAAACACTGTTTTTTTTCGCTTTTCAGATGTTAAAAGTGGTGTATTTATGGTACATTTCAAAATGTTAAGGTCCCAGTGTATGGCTGCAGGGGAACACCAAGAGGTCAGGGTTCTGGTCACAATAGTGATGAGTCTTCTGTCATCAGCAGAAAACTTCGTCTGGGCCGGTTGTGAGCCCCGGTCATTCTAACGGTGTTAAAACCATGTTCCTAGAACACATCTCTGGGACATCATCACCACTGTGACTCCCATGAGAGGAGCCCCCTGAAGCTGGGGGAGCAGTTGAAAGCCTATTTTCACTATTTCAAGGTTTGACATGGGTGGGGTGGGGGTGGGGGCTCAGAGGCCTTTCCAGGTGACTGGGAAGTGGGGTGTTTAAAAGTAGGCATGCAGCGCCCCGAGCAGCACTGAGCCCTGTCATACACCGAGCAGGGGTGACAAGGAGGGACTCTTGAGCTTCCCCACTTACTTGCTGTCTAAGGAAATCCTAGGAGTGGCAAAGCACTTTATTAAAAAGTTTACTGTGCTTATAGACTCCTCGTGAGACCCGCATGGGGCCGCGCCACATCTAAGGTTCCGGAGACCCCCACACAGGGAGATTTATTTCCCTCTGTGAGGCAGACACACAGCACCCAGTGAAACTTCTGCCACCGACTCTGTGTGTCTGGACACCTAATGCGTCCTCACTCCACCCCTTCATTCTCATTCGAAGCTGTTTTTACCTGCCTCTCATTTCTCAGTCACTCCAGCTTATGGCTGTAATACCTAGAAAGCTGTTTTTCAAGAGACATTTAACCTGCTGAAATAACAGGCAAAATGTTTTAAAAATGAAGTCCAGCGACTTTTTCTACCACATTCTAACCCTGGGATGGAAATCAACCAGAATGCCTGGGATTGCCCTAACAAAGGCTGCTGGTTGCCATCAGCGGACTGCTGGTGAGATACTTTAATCCTCAGCTCTATCAGACCTTGTATGACCAGCTGCAGAAGCATCAGGCTCAGGACTGAGGTTGGACTGTCTCTCAGTAATTTTATGTAAAGCAAAGACATTTTCTAAAACCTTTCATTGGCAATTCCCTTCCTCTCTTGGTATCACAGAGGAATACCAAAGGGTCTAAGGCTATTACCTGAGCTGACTCAAAGGCAAAACCCTTAATACTGGAGAAGGATTTGCTCTTCTCCTTTCAGATGTTAACTTCGGAGCTAACGTCACCGCAAAGCAAGGCATTAGGAGGGAGCTCGAGACCTTGGCTGTTTTTGCCTTTGCCATTCCATTTTGTGACTTAGTGGTCTCAAATTGCCAGCCCTAGACAAGACTCTCAGGTAGGCAACGCTGGGTTTCAATCTCCGTTGCAGGGGTCTCTCTTCAATACTGTGTTCTCCCACTCTAACTTCAAGAACCAATCTTTACTCTCTGACACTTTTCCTGTGCTTCACCAAAGGGGTCAGTTATACGGTGGTTTCAGGTTCAGTCCAGGCTCAGGGTTCAAGGTGTGCTATAATTAAGAGAAACTCCTCATGGACAAGGAGTGACACCAGGGCTCTGAAATCACACCCTAGATGCAGAGAATTCCAAGACTGGAATTTGTGCCCCCGGTAATTGTTACTTATCGTTTTATTTTGAAAATGGAATTCTGTTAGTATAGATGTTCTAAAAATTTTGATCAAATGAATAAATTGTGATTTCAAAACACAAGAATTTATTCCAAGTCATCTTCAAATCTCAGCATTGGAAGGACTTTAATTAACTTCTATTCTTACTATTCTGATAATCATACAATTAAGCAACATGACAAGCTCTCAGTAATCAGCCAAGTTACTACAGGTTAAGAGTGGCATTTTCAATACTGTCTAAATGATCTTGTTCAAATTTTAACAAGACCAACCTGGACTCTTCCTTTTTAAGATAGGATAAAAAAGCAACTATTTGTGCAGCTAATTATAATAGCAATGAACTAATTGCATATACAATTGGCCACTTACTTGAAATGGAGAGCAATCGGCTAACTGGTAATTAGTTAATGAATGGCTTTTATATTCAAAGAACTGTTAAACTTGTCTGTACACCAAGGCAACCAAAATTTGATGTTATCCTTCCCCTTAGAAAATAAGCACACTGTGAATCTACTTGCCTATTTTGACCTTGTAGTTTTCTTTCTCTCTTCTAAATACATGTCCCACTATGGCAGTTGACTAAAAAGGTGTTTTTGGATAGCATTTTGTTGTTGCCCTCTTGCTAAACCTTTATCACATTCCTTAGGTTTAGAATCATGGCCAACATGTTATGAAAACTGTGCTGAGGACTTTATAGACATTTGCTTACTTAATGCTCCTAAGACTCTATGAGCTTAGTCTATTATCACTCCACTTTGAAGATTGGAAGACAGGCCTAGGGGGTTAATCTGACCACTGTCACACAGGAGGAAGTAAGGTGGGCAAGGAATAAAAGTTTTCTCACTCCAAAGCCTGCACTATTTGCTGTATAGAACACCTCTAAGAATCGTTGCAAAAGTAAGCTTATCTAGCAGATCAGCTTATCTACGGAATAGCTCATCTACTAAGAGTCGCTTGCAGATGACTCATTTTGTGGGTGGCTGTCTAGGTCTGGGGTGTGAGGAAAGGGGGTCTAAGAGCTCACGGTGCTGCCCGGTGCGAGGTCCAGAGGCAGACGATGAATAAGTGTTATTTGGCGGTCCTAAGCTTCGGACACCATTCTGACCCAGCTGCTTGGAAGCTGGCAATGTGGAATGGGTGGAGGGGACTTGCCAAAGGTCATCCTGCGTGAAGATTCAAAGTGTCTAGAGCTAGCCATGCTCCTAAACATGCACTTCGTCCACTTAGTAAAACTCACTCGGGTACATGGATCCGCCTTGCTTGTTGGGCTGGGTGACATAACGTCTGCCTGGTCCCCCAACCTTCTTTCAGTTGAGTCTAAATGCTGGCTTCTTTCTAGCCACTCCTGGTGACTCCCCACCCCCTGGGACTTGGCCCTTCTCTTGAACTGATGATCTACAGAGCTTGGCTCTCTGCTCCCTCCAACGCATTTCACATTGGGTGGGATGAGTCACCTTTCCTCACCATTCACACAGCACCTTATGCCCTGACATCCAGTACCGAGCCTCTTTGTCTGCCTCGAATGGTTACTCTTTAGGTTTTTAACATTTACTATTACTTAGAATATCGCCCATTGAACTTCCATTTTACAGGAGACAAAATCAAGTCTCTCCAATGTTACGAAGCACCATTGCTAATGCCACGGTTAGCATTCACCTGTTTTCCTCGTTCTTTATCCACACTTTCCTTCGCGTGCTTAAGTGCTTCCTCCTCTTCACATCAATAATACTTTTTTAGGGTTAACTTTGTAACACACTGCAAACATCGATTTTGGAGAACTTGAAGTTTACATTTGTCCCTAGAGACCAGACCTGAAATTTACTGTATTACTTATAGAAACTATGATCTGCTAGGATCTTGTGGGTAATGATTACCTCCTAGGAAATGAACAGAGATCCCCAGAGTGTCGGAGAGAACACCTGGGCTGGTCAAACAAGGCTGCCAGTGACCCCTCCCTTAGAACTTTCGCTGTTAACAGAAGGGGAAAGAGATCACAAAAAAGGTCTACCTGTGCTTGGTTGCCGGAGTGCAGGGGTGGGTGTGGCGAGGTCTGGTGATGTGCTGGGTGCGCATGGAGGTGGGAGTGGGAGTGATGATGCGGGTGGTTCTGCTGGTGATGGGGCTGAGGGTGGGGATGGTGTGCTGGGTGCTGGTGCTGGTGCGGGTAGGGGTGATGGGCTGGCAGTGTCTGGTGCTGATGCGGGTGTGTGTGCATGTGGTGGTGCGGCGTCTGGTCCTGCCGGGAGCCCATCATTTCCATCATGTGGCCCATGGTGTTCATATTCCCATTGGACATGGCAGCAGGGTGGTGAGTCAATGCGGCCTTCAGCCTCTGAAACAGAAAACAAGAGGGCATAGCTGAGGTCAGTCATGTACACAATGGGGATTCTGAATCAAAAGGACTTGTCTTTTCAATTCTCTAATATTTTAGGGTGCTAGTGTTAACACGGCTTTCCTGGTAGCAGTATGACTTTTATATTCATTCCATATTTTCATATATTCTATGGTACGTCCAAGGGTCAATGCCAGCCATTAATGTTCATTATTCAACTGTCACAACAAATGAGCAGGACACCCCCTCAAGACTTAGACATTCTATTGAAGCGGATTTCCTATTGTCCAGTTGTTTATCATATCCTGCTGACAGCTGAGTACAAATAAAAACCAAATAAAACCATTTGCTATGATAATGCCTCTGAGCAAAGGGCCCCTCTGATATGGCTGTGTGTTTTGTAGAAATCGCAAGAATAAAAGCTTTTTGACTTTCAAAAGATTTCACAGACAGAAAGAGGAAGGAACTACACATTTTGAAAGACGGGGGTGTTATTTAAGAATTTCAATTTAGCCCTGGCCGGTTTGGCTCAGCGGTTAGAGCGTCGGCCTGCGGTCTGGAGAGACCCGGGTTCGGTTCCCGCTAAGGGCACGTACTTCGGTTGCAGTTTGTCCCCGGCCCTGGTTGGTCGTGCGGGTGGCAGCCACTCGATGTGTTCCTTTCACGTCGATGTTTCTCTCTCTCTCTCTTCCTCTCCCTCCCTCCCACTCTATCTGTACAAAAATTGGAAAAATGTCCTCGGGTGAGGATAAAAAAAAAAAAAGAATTTCAATTTAGATTATAATCCATAACTTTCGCAGGCAATCTGTAGGTCTTTCCCATTTGTTGCCATGATGCAACGCATGGTGATCCTGATAATCTCATTTTTTCTCGCACAGTAACTTTCTTCTGACTTTGGGAAGAAAGTGAGGAAAATTGAAGAATACAGGTTCTCTGTTGTCAGCCCCATCACCAGGGCTCCCTCTAACACACAAGCATCATCTATTCACGAGCAAACACACATACACACAAGTAAACAGGGGTCAGCAAACTTTTTCTAAAAAGAGTCAGAAAGTAAATATTGTGGTCCTTATGCCTTAGGGTCTCCCTTTCCCAAAGCCTCAACTCCGCCCTCTGCATGCAAAGGGCAGCTGTAGGCTGATATGTAATCGAATGGTCCCGCTGTGTTACAACTTTATTTAGGGACAGGATATTTGCATTTCAAAGGTTCTTCACATGACCTGAACTGCTAGTCTACTTTTGCTTTTAAAAAAAATCATTTAAAAATGCAAAAACCACAGTTAGCTCCTGTGCTGTGCAAATTAGGGCTTGGGATGAATTCGGCCCATGGACCACGTTTCCTGGCCCCGATTTAACAGATCAGTTGTTAATCCGCTTAGTTACAGTGTCCCCAAAGTTGTTTTTTCTCCCTATCCCGAGAGGTCCCATGTGCTAAGTACCATACAATACAGTTCCTACTTGGAAAAGTATCTTCTGCAGAGGTGACAGTCTAGTTGGCAAGCTCACATTGGCTTCATGAAGCATTTACTAGGGAGCTAATGTCCTCTCCTGATTTGTGTTCTTATCTGATGGATGACAGTGGTGTGTAATCACTGCGAAAAGGAAGAGTAGTATGTATATGATCAAACCAACCACACTCCAGCTCTACATAAAATGAATGATTCTCAACTGGTCAGAGTAAACTGTTGATAAATACCAATTCTACTCACTAAAATCTTTAGTTGAGCATAAAGAATCTCCACTTGTAAAAAAAAAACAACAACAGGGGGGTGCTTGCTAGACCTGTGTAGGTAGTATTAGGTGCCTACTGCAAACATGTCCTACCTCCTAATCAGTACCACTGAGCCACTGCCTCCTCTTTGATGAGCAATACTCCAGACCTTCATCATGAGAACCCTGAAGAAGATGTTTCTGAATCCCTGGGAAAGAGCAGATGCTGTACATTGTGTTCACTATTAACGAGATAAGTGAACTAATACTCCTCACCTCCACTTTTCAGAAATGATTTCATTGTTTTTGTAAAAATGCTCATTATAAAACATTCAAGCAATGCTTAGAACTACAATGAAGTCAGCAGCAAGTGAACCAAATGCATTGTTTATATTTGGTGGGAGAACGGCATTCCCGAGAACTCTCTGTGCGCACACGTAGGAGAATCATTTCACAACCGCGGGATCATAAGAGCTTGCGGTTGGAAAAGCTTCGGTTGAATATGACATAAGGAAGTGAAGATCGAACAAATTGCTGGACTGCAGATATGTTTCTTTACCCCAAGGAACGTTCTAAATGATAGCTCCAAACTTAACCGTGAATAAAACTATGAAAAAAGATGATAATAAAATCATTATTTTTTTAAATTGACATTTTGGATAATATTAATGGACTTTCTAAACTATCCTTTGTAATTTTATTATTAGAAAAACACACAGCTGCATAGTAAAAAGAAAATCAACTACAAGAATCTGAGGTGAAACGGTAAAGGCACCTGCCAACTGTGCTCTCGAAGCTCCGGACCCGTTACTTAGATGTAGCCACCAGGGATCCTCAGACATTTCCTTAGCATTTAGAAGAACGCACCTGTGCACCCTTCTTATGCTATATAATTATGTGCCTTGTGTTCTTTTAACTTGAACAATATATCTTTGACACCCATCAAAGGCTCATACTAGAGGCTGGCATGAACTGAGCACTCGCTGTGTGCCAGTCCTCATTCCGTCTTTTACAAGTATTAACTCACCTAATCCTCAGAACAACCCTGCAAGTCTAAAGGAGCAGCTCAGCCATGTGCCAAGTTCACACCACTGGAGAGGAGGGAAGGTGCTGGAAGGCATGCCATGCACACTTTGCCAAAAACAGGAATAAACTGTGTTACGCTCCCTCCCCATCTTCAAAAGGAAAGGCAGAAACAAGAGAAGGGGCTAGAAAAGTTGGCACCACCGGATGGATGCCTTTGCTGCATGGTCTAGCAAGTAGGCAGTGTGTGTGTTACTCGGCGCACAACTGGAGATCAAGGTACAGTCTTTCTGAAAGTTGGCAGAGGGAAGAGAGGGTGGTGAGAATTTGTAGGAAGCTCAAAGGCAGCAAAGGATCATCTAGGGCTCAGCATGATCACCTCCCTTGTTATATTTGTGAAGAATGAGTGAGTACTTACGTTTCTCCAAAAATCACACATCTGATAAGGTCCCTTCTCCCTGCCCCCACTTTTTAACTCTTGGATATATGACCTTTCTATGTGTTTCTGATGCTCATGGGATCAAGGTCAAAGCCCTTGACATCAGTCCCATCAGTCCTTGCTCTTCCCACGCTGGCCACACAGGCCCTTGCATCTGAAGGTCTTCTTGCCTGAAATGCCTTTTCCTTTCTTCAGACGTTCTGTAGCTCCCAGCTCCAGACTCCTCCTCCACAAAATTCCCCCTGGTCTCCTGGTGTAAATCAGTCCCTGTTGTCACATGGTCCTAATAGAGCTATATTCCTCTTTTTAAAATTCAAGTTGTAATTATGCTCTTTAGAATGATTATTCAATTGATAATATCCATCAACCATTCCAGGTTGTGATCTTCCTGTGGGCAGGAACCACGATGGAGTTCGCTCAGCGTTAAATTCACAGAGCCTGGTGCATCTTAGGGTCTGAATTCATATTTTTGGAATGAATGAATGAAATTTTCTGAGGTTTATGATAAGGACGCTGTATTTTATTTTCTTTAAACTTTATTTTTATTATTATTTTTTAAATCCTCACCCAAGGATAGTTTTACATTTATCTTCAGACAGAGTAGGAGGGAGAGAAAGAGAGAAAGAGACATCGATGTGAGAGAGACACATCGATTGGTTGGCACCTGCATGACCCCAACCGGAGCTGGGAACAAACCGCAACCGAGGTACGTTCCCTTGGCCGGAATCGATCCCGGGACTCTTTGGTCCATGGGCTGATGCTCTAACCACTGAGCCAAACTAGCCAGGGCTAAAATTTATTTTAATTGTTGAGAGTATTACAGATGTCCCCCATTTCCCCCCTTTGCCCGCCTCCATCCAACTCCCACCCCACCCCAGACCGTCACCTGACTATTTCTGTGTCTACGGGCTAAGCATACACGCACGTAAGTTCTTTGGTTAATCTTTTCCCACATCCACCTCCTCCCTGCCCTCCGAGATCTGTCCGTCTGCTCCATGCTCTCAGGTCTCTGAACCTACTTTGTTTGTCAGATTGTTTTGTTCATTAGATTTCACGTGTAAGTGAGATCATGTGATATTTGTCTTTCTCTGACTAGGATGCCACATTTTCATCTTGGATTACTGCAGGTGCTTTTGTATGGGAGGCAAGTTGATTGGTCAACCAAGGTAAGCAGAGTCAGCCGCAGAAGTCACTCAGGCAGCCGGGATGTAAAAGCATGCTGAGCTTCCTGCTCTGCACCCTGCCCGCCTCCAAAAAATACTAACAGAAATAAAAGAAAACGTAAATAAACAAAAGGAATGCATATTAACTTCATCTTGATATATTTTCCCTGAGAAAGGGGCATGAAAAATTAAAAAGATGTTTAAGACTGGGTCACCATGTCATCCCTTCAATGCCACAAACAACTCTTTCACCTTTAATTAGAAGCAAATGGAGCCTGACAAATAAATACAATGTACCAGATCTTCATCTCTCAAATAATTAGCTTGTACTGTTGAGGGAAATTACCTGATTGCCTCAAGTCTATTCTTGCATGTTTCACGCCAAGGCAGTGATCCCAGCCAGGCTTCTAACATTCCATTTAACTATTCACTCAACAAATATTTATTGGGCATTGAGTTAGGTATATCATTATTTATTTGTCCACTACATAAAGGAAATGGGAGACACATAAAACCAAAGATTTTTCAAAGCAAAGGAGAAAAAAAAGCACACTTAAGTGTTCAGATGAAGATTTCTAAGCACCCCTTGGAGATTCTCAGGTCTTTGGGTTGAGTCCACCCTCCAAGCTCCAGCCTGTATCGTCTTCGAAGGATAAATGATCATT